TATAAAAGTCTTAGACAAAACGTCATATTAAGTATATACAATGATAAAAAGTAGAGTAAATCTCATTGACACCCCGTAAAAATATAATCTAATTACAAGAACACCTCTTGTAATTTTTGAAATATCATTGTTACCCCGTCTAATGTTATCTTTAACAGGTATAACAAAAAATATGAAATAACATTTTTACCCTAACGGAATTTTTTTTTCTTTGTTCTATAAACTTATCACTTAATTTGACCTTAAATTAAATATTTATTTGACCAATATTAAAATAATTTAATCATAGTTAAAATAAACTGATTTTTTTATATACACATACATACATGTGTGTGTTCGTGTACAATTTTATTATATAAGTATACTAGTAATAACTCGTGCTTGAAGGCACTAAGCAACTCAAAAAATCTCGATCACCGGTTATGTAATATAAATATTTCAAAAATATTTTATTTTTTTATTATTTTTTTTAGTTACACAAATTAAAATTAATTTAAAAACACTATTTTTTAAAAAATTTTGACAAAACTTCTTTAAAAACATGACCCCTATAAAATATCAACATGTACACAATTTATATATTTAATCATTATGCCTAAAAAATATCTTTTTTTTTTTGTAGGAGTCGATATTGACATGTGTGTGTTGACGGGTGTATAGAAAGAGAGTTATATGAGAGATGTGATAAACTTATGAGAGATGAGAATATGATATAGGGAGAGATTAGGGTATTAATGAGTATTAGATGTATTATGTTATTATTAGATATATATATATTCGTCCAAACCAAACTCTCGGAAGATAGAGTTATATGAGAGATGAGAGTGTATGTAAGAGAAATAGATGTAAAAGAAATAAAAATCCAATTAGAATCATATAGACATAGATATAGATAAATAGCTATAGGATGACATACTTGGACAGAGTTACACAAGGGCAAGGGTGGACATCGGCCCATCCTCAATTTATTTAAAAAAAATATGAGATATATATATATATATATATATATTAGTCTTTTTTTATTGTAATATGACTTTCTTCATATGACCTTCATTTTATTATGAATTTTTGCAAGTGAAAGTGCTTTCAATTGATTTTCATTTGATTTTGTTTTTTCTACGAAAAATTGTCTTTTATTTTTATTCGAGTATTGATTATAGTCTTTATTATGTGTCAATTGATTTTTTCATTTTTTTACTATGTCTCTTAGATTTTAGTTTAATAGTTTAATTATACTAATATTTTAGTGATAATGTTTAAAACATCGTTTATTGAATAAATTTAATAGATTGTTAGTGAATAATTAATATTTTTTAATTATGAAAATGACAATTAGCTTCACGTTTTACATTGGTGATAATTTGTCAATTTTTTATACATATATAATATTTGGGTATGATTAGATTAGATGAATTTTGATGATATCTAAATTGTATATTTAAATTTCAATTAAATCTTAGTTGTTCTTCTCTCTCTCTCTTTTTTGAAATTAAGAGTATTAATTTTAATTTTGAAAATTTAAAATTGCCTCTATATTGTTAGTGTAGATAGATATATATACATATAAAACTGTCTAAGTCAAACTCTCCAATAGTTTAAATAGGGATGATAAGAGATAAAATGAATGTAATAGAGTCTTAGTCAATCTCTCCAATGTTTTGAATGGAGATGAGGAGATAAAAGGAATGTAATTGAGTATTGGTGGAATGTAGATTAATTAGGATCGTCGGATCAATAATATTGAATCGATCAAAACCGTCTTTTATGTTGGGATTACGTTATCCGTTGAATGTGTGTTATGTTTTGTCTTCAAACGATCTGGACCTCTCTTTGTCTTTTGAATTCAAACTTCATTCTACTTTATTATATAGATATTTCAAAATTTAATGAATACTCCTTATTTCTACTAGTTATTACACCCCAGATGACTTTCAATTGACCAATCTAATATTTAATTTTATTAAATTACTACTAATTGGCATTCAATTTCGTCAATTGACATTTAATTTCATCAATTCGATTATTAATTTCGTCTCAGTAACACCAGCTTCATCAATTTAAAACCAAATTAATGCTTAATTTTATCAAATTAATATTCAATTTTATCAAATTAACGTTTAAAAATTTACTTCTGTTGAGTTAACACCAAGATAGCATTCAATTTCTTTAAGTTAAAAATTAGTTTCATCAAATTAACATGGAATCGAACTTCAATTTTATATTCAATTTTTACAAGATTTAACATTAATTTTACAACTTAATACAAATTTAATATTTCAATTTTATCAAGTCAATACCTAGTTAATATTTTGGGGGGTGAAATATGGGTCATTGGCAAGCAATGGTGAAGTCTAAAAAAATTTTTAGCTTACAATTTGGATGAACGTGTTTATGTGTGTACACATGTACCTATGTGTATAAGTATGTGTGTGTGAGAGAGAGAGAGAGAGAGATAATTCCGAGAAAAGAGCAAGAATAGAAAACTAAGTATTGAATCCAACCTCCTACCTTGATTGACTCCTCCATTCATCGTCTACCAAATGAGATCGAGTACTATGGCATTCCCTTGACTCCAACATTTAGTTTTGATCCAAATCCATCCTCAACACGATGCCTTAAAGACCTTAAAGAGAATCCAAAGTGTGTGTAATATATAAAAGATGAAATAAAAAGACATGAAAAGAATAAAGGTGTTTGAGGACAAAGGCTATATATAGTTGAAGGCTAAAATTGTCATTTATAAAAAAATAGTGGCTGACATTATCATATTTTTGATATGTCAATAGTATCTCTGACCATAGGGGTGGTATGTGAAATGGACATATAAACTAGGAAGAATGACAGTAATATTTTAAAAATATAGAGAATATCCTTCTAATTACCTTTTTTTAGGGGGTCATTGAAATTTACCGTAAAAAGTATGATAAAAAAGTAATTAGACCCTCAATTACTCCTAATTTTTATTCTTCTTATCAAACACAAAGACGGAAAAAAGGAAGTAAAGATTTATTTTGTTTGAGAATAGAAAATGGATCATTCTCATTTTCTTTCCTTCTATTATTTCATTCATCCTATCAAGCAAACCATACAAACCATTAGGAAGAATATTCCCAAATCACCAAAGGGCCAATGAATGTCAACCTAAGCCTAATTTTGTTCTGGAGGGACTCTGACCAAGGTGAAAGGGGGGTATTACAGCCACAATCAATTCTATAATTGTAGCGTTTAGTTTTGCGCAGGTCTGCATGTAGGGGCAAAAAACAATTCGGACAGCATTCCATCAGATGCCAGACTTCTCTTTAAATCTACCAGTTACTGAAGACATGGTCAAGAGGAAATTTGATGTTAAACTCTGCAATTTTTAGCCCCGTATTCACGGTGTGCAATGGGAGATCTTTGCACGATGAAGCCTTATGAACCACTGAAACGACAGCAAGAGGGCCTTGATCTATCAATAACCCACGTTTTCATGCTTGATACTGTTTTTTTATGGACAATAACAAATTCCCGTAGTAAAATAAAAAGTGAGACTATATCCACCTCACAAATCTTCATTCCCGCTCTATTTAACTTTTTATTATTAAATTATTAAACTCACCATTTCTATATTCATCTCATTAGTAACTACGCACACCCCATTAATAGTTAAACTTAATAATTTTTATATATACCATTTTAATAAAAAAATGTATTGTCAGAAAAAAATAATGAAAAAAAATAATTAATTTAAATACATAAATATATTTACGAAACAAAAAAAAAATCTAGTAAAATTGAAACAAAACAGAAAAAACAACCAAAAACAAAACAAGTAAAAAAATCAAGCACGCTAGAATAAGATAAAAGAAAAGAACGAAAAAAAAAGAAGAAATAGACCAAAACAAGAAAAAAAATAAAAGAACGAAATAAGAAAAAAAAAAAGCAAACCGAAGCAAAAAGGAAAAAAAGACCAATCAAAGATTAAAGGAACAAGTAAAATAGCAAAATGCAAAATAGACTACAAAAAAAATAAGCATCAAGTACAAACACAAAATTGAATAAGAAACAAAAAACAAGTATAAATACAAAACCTCAACAAGATAAAAAAAAAATAATCTACAAGCATCCATATATATATATATACACACACATATAAATTCTAAATAAAAAATTATTAAACTTGACAGAGATATCAAAACATACAAAAAATAATAAAAATTCATATAACAAACATAAAATAAAATTGAGAAATAATACTAATATGTATCTTACTGAAAAAATATTTATGTGTGTATATATAACCCTAATTATGTATGAGATGAGATCGAGAATAAAACCATAATTTTGACAAAACATAAAATGGATTTACTTATAAAAAGAGGTGTATGTAACATGAAATGAACTTAATTACTAATGGGGTAAGTATAAAAATGGTGGACTTATTAGTTTCATAATGACAAATTAAATGAGATGAGAATAGAGATTTGTAGGTTGGAAATAGTCTCACCCTAAAATGAAAGCAGTTGCAGGATCAATGCTCGAGTTCACAAAGAAAACATCACCCATCATAAAGTGCATATAATTTCCACAGTAATATTTGATTCCTAAACAATTAGCAATGATAAGATAAGCTCAAAGTTTGCCAAGCAAATACTTCAAAAAAGTCGATCAAACCTGCACAACCCTCCGTAGAAGCCAAAGAACTGATAACTCATTTGAACTCGAGTTGCAGAACTTCCAAGTAACCACTCAACAAAGTTAAGCTGGATAATAGTAGTTATATGCATCATATGCATCAAACAAAACACGTTAAGCATTGCTTTTCAAATAGTCCAGACTGCAACAATACCCTATTTACATTAAGCATAATAAAAAGACGCACGAATTAGAGATTGAGCAACAAAATGATATGTGAGACACAGATGGGCTTTTTATTCACACCATAGGCAACCCAATACAATCCACTTACATACAAGAGAAGAACACATTATTTTCACACTGATAAATCTAAGAAATGGCTGCTATAATAAATTCAAAACAGAGATCGCATGGAGAAAAAGCGTCCTTCTTCCATCAACACGGCAGTCTTTTGAGATCATTAAACCAACACAGACCAAGAAACACGAAATGAGAGCATAAAACAACGTTGCCCCTTTTGGAAACCATGCCACAGCATACAAGAACCAACAAATGCCACAACATTTGTGCTGACTGCCCACAATTACAGCACCGAAACCACACCTTTGCAAAGAAGCTAATATTAACAACCTTTGCAAAACCCCGATATGGATTAAGCTGCTATGACACCAGAGATTCATATCATTTGCAGAGAGTTGCCACAAACCCAAAAATATCAAGCTTCGACATCCAAGAGTGGAAATGGAATCTGCCTTCATCAGCCAAATTCGAAAAACTCATCCAATATAGTTACCAAGAACTATCTTTGATAGGCCACTAACCCAATTCAAAAGAAGCTGGCATGATTTTCGAGCTTTGATCAAGTGAAGCTGTTGTAATAAAATGTCCACAAGAAGCCCTATTTTCTCAAAAAAAACCCAAGCCAAAGAAATATCCCAAGCACTAGGACCACCATAGTGAGCAATCAAATTGTAGCACTGCACAAAATGCACACATCGTTTCCAAATTGGATTACGGATTCATCGCCACACCCCCCCCCCCCCCCCCCCCCCCAATTCTTCGCTCTCTGTCTCCTCCAACAAGACCCAAAATTCTAAAAAATTGAACACAAAAACCCTAGTGAGAGAACAAACTAAAAACCCCTAATTCCCAACAATAATTTCTTAGAATTGGTCAAACCATAATTTCACTAAGCTAAAAAACTAAAACCCTAACGCAAAATGACAACAAATCCTCATCTCCACACACATTCGAGAAACCAAAACAACAACATACATAAGTATAAACAACCACGAGAATTCAACGATAATATGAGGTATTAACAACCCCCAGAATTCAACGAGGATCATCTCCTGTCCGCCCTGAAGATGGCGGTGGAGGACCAGACAAAGAAGCGAGCAAATTCAGATGCCCTTGAGCAATGGGAAGGTAATTCCCAAGCCTCGCCGCCGACGCCTCCCCAATTTGCTGCTGCTGAAAGAATCTACCCGTAATCGAAGGCTGCGAAGACATCGCTGCCGGTGTCGGCACCACCATTTCAGGTGGCGCCGTCGCGAAGCTCCAAACCTGACCGAAATCCGGTCGGGCTGGAAGCGCCCAGAATCCACCGGCAGGGCCCACAACAGTAGCTGCCGTAGTGACGTCGTCTTTGGCTCCGCCTCCGCCGTCCATGTTGTCGTCATCGGAGCGGAGACGTTTGCCGAGAAGAAAGGGTGACGGAGTTACCAAAGGCTGTTGAGAGGGCTTCTGATCAAGAGCAGCTGAAATCGAAGAGATGGTGGAAGAGTTCCGAACCGAAACTGAGACGGTGGAGAAGCTAGCGGGAGTCGTGCCGCTGCCAGTGGCGGCGATTATCGACGGCTCTGCCTGGCGGAGGAGCCACTCGATGGTCTGGCCATCTGACTTATGGCCGAGCTCGCGGGTCAACTGAAACACTCGGGCAGCACAAATTATAGGCATCCGAATACGCCGACCGCGTCCATCGACCTTACTGTGTCGGTCCTTCGCCGGCGGCTTTTTAACAGCTAAAGCGCCGTTACCAGGCCTCTGAGACTCAATTATTGAACCGTTATGAACGCAGTTACTTGCCCCTCCTCCTCCTTCTGATGTTGCCATAGCACAATAATGTATTTGTGGTGGAGCCTGTTGGTTTTGATAGAGGAATAGAGGTAATGAAAGAGTGGAAGTAGTGGTAGTGTGTGAGAGTGTCTGTGTCTGTCTGTGCGTTTGTGTTTGTGTTTGTGAGAGAGAGAGAGGGGGTAGGAGAAGGAAGAGGGAAATAGGGCTCTAATCATTGAGCGGCAGGATCTGGTGGAGACAGGGGGGGGCACATGGGTGATGGGGCCCATCGCTACTACAATCACAGCTCACGCCCTCTTTATTTAGTATATTAGGGTAAATTATTCTTTCACCCTTTAAGTTACGGTGGAGTTCTAATTATGCCCGACACACTTTTTTATCTTGATTCAAATAGACTGAAATTTGTATCATTTATTATCATACTTTTAATTGCAACAAATTACAATATTAATATACTCTGCATGATAAAAAGATAAAAAAACAGGAGACAAATGAGAAATGGTAAGGAGAGAAACATGGATTGTATTAAAACAAAAAAAAAAAAAAGTGAAAATCTAAAAACTTATTTTAGTATTTTTCTTTTGCTATTATTATAGTTGAGTAGGATACTAGGGGTGTCCATGAGTCAAGTTACTCACGGGTCTCATTACTTGGCCTGAAAAAATAGAATCAAAAATTAATAGGTCCGACAATTGACCCGCCCGAGCCCAATATCCCCAAAAAAAGGGCTTGGGTTGCTCCCAAACCCATTACCCAGCCTAAAGCCCAACCCAATAGCCTGCCCGCCCATCCTTCATTTGAAAAAAAGTTATACTTTTAGACCATTAAATTTGAAATTTTGAAATAAAGTCTCCCAATTTAGGAATTTGAATTTTTAAAAATTTGAATACTATAAATAATGTATTATTTTTTTCATGTATTAAACATAAAAGTTTTAAAGGGTAGAGTAATACAAATGATAGATAAGTGAGTAGGTGTTAACCTAATTGTGATGTATTAATTCTAATGGATGTAGTTCATCCCCTAATTAAAAATAAAATTATTCATTATTTTATTTTTATCCATTGTTACTCTACTTTTGATTCAAAAATATAATAATTTGCACAAACATTAAGTTACAAAAATATTCATTATTTTTAAAAGAAGTTGTATATAAAAAATTTAGTGAGCAGGCCAGCCCAATAGACTCATGGGTTGGGTTGTGGGTAGCCTATCCTTACCTGAAGCCTAGTCCGACTCGCCTGATAAGTCACTTGGGTAAAGGCTTGGGCCTACACTACCCAGGCTCGCCCTGAAAAAAAATTCGCGTTTCTAGCCTAGTCCGACCCATGGACACTCCTATAGGATACCAATAGCTACAATGGGAAAAAGAGACAGCATATCTGTAAGTGATAAGATTACAATATCTCCTACGCTTGATGATGAAAATTATATTCTTCTCTCAAAGTCTTCCTTGCAAAATGAACAAACTGCTTAGAACTGAAGTGATTCGATCGAAGACAATCCAATGTTTAAGTTAGTAGTTGGATGAAAAGAGTATTTTTGGAGAGAAAGTTATATTTATCTCAAACAGTGCATCCTTAATACTTTATATAGGCTTTGCCTTATTTCTAGGGTTTCCCTTATTGGCAGGGGAGATGACACATCTCCTTTCACTTAGGAATGTTTGTTAGGGATGGCTGAAATCTCCCCCAAACGCTTCCTCAATCACTGCTCTTCTAAGTCATTGACTGCGCCTAGTTGTTGCACATAAATTCCTTAAATGTAGGCGTTTTTCTTGTTGTTCGGTTAAGGTCATGTTTCAAGCTGAGCTTTGTGTAACTATGCTCGGTACGATGAACTGAGCTGTCATAGTTTAGCTTGGTTTGTCCCTAATTATTCATGCTTGTGGGCCACATGATTTGTCTTTTCAAGAACACGCGTATGTATTATCTATACACATGACATAGATTTATGCCTCTTCACTCACCCCCAAGAAAGTATGTCAACCATTTTTCGCCTGACAATCGTTTCATGTTCCCATACTCATCATTACATGGATCCTCGAGATGTGCATCATACTTGCATAGTCTATTTGCATTAAATGCTTATCTTTTGGTTTCCAAGCATTCCTTTTTTTTTTTGCACTTGTCCATCTCCATTAAAAAGGGGGTGTAGAGTAGCATACTCCTACATTTGCTTTACTTCAGGCTTTTGCTTCTTTTGCTTTTTCGTTGTCTCTCTTTTCTGCTTCTTATCTGTTAAATGACTCCTTTTGCCCTAGAAGATGCTCCAACCTTCAAAGTCAAATACCAAATTCCTAATGATGTCCACATCCGAGTTGCTAGTGTCAATGAGCTATTGATTGGTATCATAGAGTCAACTCTATCCATACTCGAGCTATATCACTAAAGGTGGTGTGAGGTTTCCTCTTCACCCTCTGCTCGTATGGGTGCTTTTCAGCCATGAAGCTATGCCCCATTCGATGTTGTCCTAATTTTTTTAGGATAGTCATGGGTGTTGCTGCCTTGAATAACCATCCTAAATGTAAGCTTGGGTATCTATGAGATCCTATTCTATTACATCCTCAAACCAGCTGGTGATAACTACTACCTAGCAGTGAGGACGAAAGATCGATATCTAGTGACTCAACTTCCTAACTCGAACAACAGTCACAAAAAGCCATGTTGTAGAAAGTGGCAGGAGCATTGGTCAGGCCAAAGGGCATAATGCTATACTTAAACGCACCCTATCGAATAACATAGTAGTCATTGGCTCATCTATAGTCACTATTTTGACTTGAGAGTACCCGAAGCGTAAGTCCAGCTTGGTGAAATAAGTGGCCTTACCCAAACGATCGAACAAGTCAGCCACCAATAGGACTGGGTATGTATTTTGAACCCTCACCTTATTAAGAACACGATAGTCAACCTAGTTATTTATGCTAAGGACTCATCTTCTTTCTTTTGAAAGAGGAAAGGTGCCCTATATGACACTTTAGAGGGTTGAATATCACCCGCTTCAAGCAATTCCTCTAATAGCTTTCAAAGTTCTTCATCGATATTTGGACTCACCTTCCTAACTCAAACAATGGTCATGAAAGCCATGTTGTCTTCGTTTTCTGGGAATTGGGAGTATAAGGTCGGGGACACTCCTTTGTATAGGTGCCCATACGAGGAAGGCACTCCAGGTATATGAAAAAATGCCCTCTAAGTTTCATTTTCACCCCGTTTTCCTCTTCTTTTTTTTTTTTTTTTTTAAAACTACTGGATTATGAACTGATGCTGCTCAATTTCCTACTTTTTTAGGTGAAACTGTTAAAGGGAAAATTCTCAAGCGTTCTGTGAAGATGGATGACTTGAAGAAAGTGTGGTCATACAACGACAACTTGTTTTGTTGAGCCACCTACGTCCTTCTCGAATACACTCCTGCTTTCCATTCTTTTTATTACAGTCCCTGAGCGAGCCAATGCCATCCTTGTCGATGATCAAGATGCCCTGCAAGCTCAACATGTTGCTACCCCTCGTCCCTAGCAAAAATTTGTTGCCCCTAGAAGGAACAGATCGGTGAAGAATTTTCTAAGTTTTCTTTCTTCGGGGAATCCTGCCGAACCCCACCCCTTCTACTACAACTGTTCAGATTCCTGAAAATACGGCTCGTCCATCTACTCTAAAGACTAAGCAAGTTGTCCTTTCAGATGATGCCCCGAAACTCACTGAGACCGAGGTCATTCGTGACGCGTTGATTCTTCTACCTGTTCCTATTCCTAAGGTGGCTCTTACTAACTCTACTATTGTTTCTTCGCTTACTCGTTCAATTGGAATGGAGGTGCAAGCCGAGGAGTGTGCGACAAAAAATAGAAGGACTGCTGAATCATCCTCTAAAGTTCCTGTTGAACAACAAATCCCCCCTTCCATCCTATCCTTAAAGAGAAGGACTACTGAATCGTCTTCTAAAGTTATGGTATTGTTTTTCCTTCTTATTCCTTCTTCTCTTTTTAGAAATATGATTTTCCTTTGCATGTTTTTCATTTGTTTCCCTCTTATTTGTGACTCGAATGGTCTCCAAAAAGTTCAAGAAGTTGAGGCAAGGATTGTCAAGAAGGACAAGGCTATGAAAAAGGTAGTTCATTAGTTCATATCTGCATTGGTGAAGAAGGAATCCACTGATGAAGAGTATGCCAAGTTGAATCGTCCTCTAAAGTTATGGTATTGTCTCATGAGTTCATATTTGCATTGGTGAAGAAGGAATCCACTGATGAAGAGTATGCCAAGTTGAATCGTCCTCTAAAGTTATGGTATTGTCTTTTTTTCTTATTCCTCCTTCTCTTTTTAGAAAGATGATTTTCCTTTTCCTGTTTTTCATTTGTTTCCCTCTTATTTGTGACTCGAATGGTCTCCAAAAAGTTCATGAAGTTGGGACAAGGATTGTTAGGAAGGACAAGGTTATGAAGAAGGTAGTTCATGAGCGCATATCTGCATAGGCGAAGAAGAAATCCACTGATGGAGAGTATGCCAAGCTTTGCGAGGAAGAGCTGGTTCTCGAGGCTCAAATGTTAAGCATGATTGATGAGAACAAGGAGCTTGCAATTGAAGACTTTGGAGAGTGCGATCAATGTATAGCTTTCCCAAACACAACTGGAACACTCCACCATTTTAGAAGAATTTGAGCGATTCAACGCTGAAGCCAAGGATCTAAAGGGTACTACTACCTTTGAACAAGGAATGGTGAAGGGAGAGAATAATATGGCCTCGTAGATTTCTTCACTGAAAAATGTATATTTTACAAAAGGTTGGGTTGCTGCTCTGAAAGCTATATATCATTCTTCCGAACTTTTCACTACGTCAATTATTTCGGTCTTTTGAATTTAGCTAGGGACATATTAACTACGTCAAATTATTTCATTCGGCTTTTCTTTAAAGAGTACAGTCCCTAGCATTTAGCTAGGAACTTACAATACTTAGAAAAAAAAATTTTGCTCGAAAAATTTATGGCCTTTGCTCGGCCCTTCTTCAAAGAGTTCGGTCAAAAGCACTTAGCTAGACACTTTTAATACTTAAAAAAAAATTTACTCTAAGAAGTTATGACCTTTGCTCGTCCCTTCTTCAAAGATTTTAGTCCCAAGCACTTAGCTAGGGACTTTCAATACTTAGAAAAAAAATTTACCCTAAGAAGTTATGGCCTTTACTCGGCCCTTCTTCAAAGAGTTCAGTCTCAAGCACTTAGCTAGGGACATTCAACACTTGGAAATTTCTCTAAGAAGACTTGGTCCTTTGGGCCTTTCTTCAAAGATTCTTTTTTCTGTGCATGCACCGACCTGCCAATCTAATCAGACTCAGATCCTTACCTGTTTTTTTTACATCGTCATGCCTAACCTTGGGCTTAGATCTGATTTTGGGCTATGCCTGATATAGGCTTCTACCTCTATCAAGATTTTTGCCTCCCTGCCTTGGCAATAGGATGAGTTCATTAAACTTAGAATTTAACAAATTCATAATGATTTTTTTATTAAAAATGCTTTTAAAACACAGAGAAACATTCTTAATGAATGTACTTTTTTCTTCCCTAAATTATGGTCCTATAGGGGGTACCCCTATTTCCTGAATGTACTTCGAAGTTCGTATTCGTGAAGGCACTTTAGAAAAATAGAACTTTCACAGGTTAGCTGTATTCCAAGGTCGGGGTACCCGCCTCTGGTCCATAGTCTCGAGTTCATAGGATCCATTTCCTCCTACTTGGGTTACCTTGTAGGGCTCATCCCAGTTAGCACCTAACTTCCCACGAGTTGGATCCTTGGTAGCCCGTATAATGCATCTAAGCACTAGGTTCCTAAGGAAGAAAGCATGGGGATGAACTCTTCTATTGTTGGCTCGAGCTATTTGCTACTGATAAACAGCTATACGATCTACTGCCACCTCGCTCTTTTCATCGAGCAGATCTAATTCTTGGTTAATGGTGATGTCGTTACTCCCATTCATTGCTAGGTCAGTTCTGAGCGTAGGCAATTTTCAAGGGTATCACGACTTCCATGCATACCAGCTGTCCTTTATGAAATGTAATTGGGGAAAAAACCTGGCAACACCTAACAAATTGTTGTGCATCTTTTTACATGTATGGCCACAAATATCCTTGAGAATGTGCTCGGTGGGCAACTGACCTTCCCCCTATGTGTACCCTGCAACTCCCCTCATGGATCTCGAACAAGAAATCATGGAACAAGTCGGGATGTAGCACCTCAAGAATGGTCTAGAGAATGAACGTCAGTAAAGCTCTTATTTTGGGGATAACCAGAACCTAGCTGGTTTGAGTCGCACCTTTTTCCTAGACAAATCATGGTAGGCAATCATCCTTTCATCCTTTGTCGAGTATTCTCCGAGTATCTGATTCACCACCAGCTATAAATCAGAAAAGATTTGAAGGCTTTTTAAGTTCTAATCGGCTACAAGCTTCACTCTAGATAACAAGACCTCATATTCTACCTCGTTATTTGAGGCTTGGAAACTGAGCCTTATTTCTCTTTCAAGTATAGCCCCCTCTGGGCTTTCAAGTATGACACCAATTCCTACTCCTTTGTGATTAGATGACCCGTCGACAAACAGTCTCCATCTTCCTTTTGTGTCTTTTGCATCATTCAGATTTGGGGGTGGCATTTCGACGTGATGACCCCTAGGTCAGAACTCTATGATGAATTCGGCCACTACTTGCCTTTTTATTGTTATTCGTGGCTCGAAGAGGATGTTATATTCCCTGAGCTCTATGGCCCATCCAGATATTCTTTTGGATAGGTCAGCTTTTCTAAACAAGGCTTTAAGTTATTTGTCTATAAGCACTACTATGGTGTGGGCCTAAAAGTAGAGTCATAACTTCCGAGCCACACTTACAACTATGAACACCAGTTGTTCGAGTGGCAAGTATCTCGTATCGACATCAAGGAGCATTTTATTGACATGGTAGATTAAACATAACCCTATTTGGGAGTTCCTCATCAGGGCCCCGCTGACTATATGTTGGATACTGCTAGGCATAACGACAACTGTTCTCGTAGGAGTGGTGTTGTTAACAAGGGTGAAGTAGCCAAATAGGACTTCAAGTTATTGAAGGCATCTTCACATTCCCGATCCAATATCTTATCTCATTTCAGTTTAATGGACTAAAAAAATGGTCGTCATTTATCAGAGGCTTGGGATATAAAACTACCAAGTGTTGTCGCTATTCCTGTCAACTTTTGCATATCTTTAACCGTTTTCGATGGTTGCAACTATGTCATGGCCACAACTTGATCTAGATTCCCCTCAATTCCATGAAGAGTGACTAAAAAGCCTAAGTACTTTCTGAAACCAACCCCAAATGCACATTTTGAAGCGTTCAACTTCATCTTTTATGAAGGATGTCAAAAGTTCTCCTTAGATCGTTAATGTGGTCATTAGCTTTTTGACTCTTTACCACCATATTGTCGATATGAACTTCCATAGTGTCACTGAATATGTTTGAGAACATCTTCATAACCAATCTCTAGTATGTTGTCGCTGCATTTTTTAGTCCGAATGGCATAACTCTGTAGTAGCAAATTCCTTCCAAGGTTATGAATGATGTTTTGTCCTGATCTTGGCAAGTGGGATCTAGTGGTATTCCCTCTATGCATCAAGGAAACTCATTCATTCATGACCAAAGGTTCCATTGAACAATTGATAAATCTTAGGCAAAGAAAAATTGTCCATTGGGCATGGCTTGTTCAGATCGGTAAAGTGAATGCAAACCCTTCATTTTCCTTTTTTTGCTTCACCACCACCTATTCGACATCCAGGTCAGATACTAGACTTGTGTTGATGGTTCATGCTTCCAACAGTCTTGCTACCTCTTCCTTTAATGTCTCTCTGTGTTGTAATGCTGACCTTCTTTACTTTTGCTTCACTAGTCTAAAGCTCGGGTCGACATTTTAAGTGATGGCACGTGATTTTGAGAGGTACACTCGACTTTTCGTGTGTCGTCTAGGCTAATACGTCAATGTACTCATTGAGAAGCGAGACTAATTTTGGGTGCTCCTAGGCCATTAATGAAGAACCTAATAAGAAATACCTTTCGACATCCCCATCTAAAGGTACTTTAGTTAGGTCTTCTATGGTGTGCTCGTTCTTCTCGGTATGCTGATCTTCAATAGCCAACCACTTAGACTTTAATTGTTATTTCCTAGTCTCTTGATTCGTCACCTTATCCTGTACCTCAGTGCATTCCTTGCCTTTATCCGAGGCTAGGAGACAGGTTCATCAACTTACCTGGTCCCCTCGAACGTCGATTATCCCATCATTTGCCAGGAATCTTAGCACTTGGTGGTACAACGAAGGGACCACTTTCATTTTGTGTAACTAGGTATGCCCATAAAGGCATTGTATGCTGACTCTACATCCACTATAAGAAACTCTGTCATGGTCCCAACCAGTCTTATGTAGATAGGTAGGGTGATTTTCCCTTTTGGGAAAACCATATCTCCATTGAACCCTACTAGAAGGGCATTCGTTACCCTGAGGTCCTCCTCTTTGAGGCTTATCTTCAGAAAAAGACCTAGGTACATGATTTCGGAGGAGCTTCCTTTGTCAATCAACACATGCCTAACGTCAAAAGTCGCAATTCTTATAGTAAGAACGAGTATGTCGTTATGTGGGTGGTGTACCCCCTATCAAGTCTTATTTGGAGAAACTGATCCTCCCAACTGCTTTTATCCATTTTTAACTTCTTGCTTCTAGCTTTAGGAGTCACCCTTAATTAAAAGACTTCTCTAGAATGTGTATCCATCTTGATATATGCTCTAGCCAATTTATTTGAAGCCATATGTGAATTTGTGATCGCATGGATCACATCGATGATCCCACTTGGCACTGGCCGATTGTGGGGAGTATCGACAACACCTCCATTGTTATTCTTGCTTCCATCCCCTCCACGAATTGCTAGAGGTATCCAGCTTGGCC